CCATCCATCCATCCATCCATCCATCCATCCATCCATCCATCCATCCACTGCAACAGCAAGTCCTCCTGTGCGCGCTTGCGTCACTCAGCTAGTGGAGGCGGAGGACAGAGTTTTGATGGCTAGTTCATTGTTCATAATAGATTTATTGGTTTGTAATAGTGAAATGTAGCAGCTTTAACATGACACACCCACCAGACCATTATAATAACATACACACCAATTAGTTAATTAATTAATTAATTAAAATTTTCATTCCACATCACTGAATCTATTGAAGTCTTCATGCTCTGTGTCAGGATCAACAAATACGGCTACCGTTAGTTGTCAAAAGCCCAAAGGGCCCTCTAGCGCCTCTAGCGGCAAAAAATGGTAATGTTTAATATTTTCCATGTCAGAATGAATGAAAGCGTCAGATCTCAGTGAAAAATTGGGTTATAAATATGGAAAAAAAATGTAACCTGCTGATTATTGTAAATTAAACCAAACTATCACAGAACTGTATTTATTGTTTTATTAGGTCAGTGTTTTGTATTGTTGTTGTTGGGCTGATTTATAGTCTAGATGTCCTGATGCATGTTCAATAATCCAGGTAGATGAATCTAACAAGGTTGAGTCTCGTCCTCTGGACAGATTCTTCTTTGTTGAAACATTTAATCTTTTATCCAAAAGACCTTCAATCTGAGGAGTTGCAAGCAACCAGTTTGCTGGTGACAACCAAAACTAGTTGTTCACATGCAAAAGGAGGACCATCAGCCTAACAGTTGATCGTTAGTGTCCTAAAGGCCGCTTGCTATTCACAGAGGGCTGAGTGATACTAGCAATAACAGCATTGTAAGAGGAGGACAGTATCAAGGATGTGAACATCTTCATCCCTGAAAGAGTGACCGCTGGCCTGGAGATGAGTGTAGACCGTAGAGTCCTGGCCTGATGATGTTGATCTTCTGTGCTGGGCCATCCTTTTGGCCAGTGGCTGTTTAGTTTCCCTGATGTAAGACTGATCACAGCCCTCCTGGCACTGAACACCATACACAATATTACTCTGACAGCGCAGGGCCTCAGACTGAAAAAGTCTTTTGGATAAAAGACGAAACGTATGAACAAGAAGAATCTGTCCAGAGGGCTGACTTAACCTTGTTAGATATACCATAGACTCGATGCTTTTTCCTATGAATTCTTGTTGGAAATCATAACTTTTCTTCCTGCATGTTTTTATTTATGAGTCCTGCAGCAGAGTTTTCTCTCTCACATTAGACAGTCATCAAACCTCACGGCTCTCACAAAACTCAGAGGGAACACTAGAAAGATGTCTTTAAAATTATATATGGCATAAAATGAAGAGGACATTTAATAGTGTTAATTGGTACAACTGGGTCTGTGCTGACATTACTGATCATGTTACTTTTAAGATTATGAACTCATAAGACACAGGTGAATGTTCTGCTCTACTTTATCAGCTGAGGAAAACAATAAAGAGGTTGAGCAGTTCAAACAGAGTGAGAAGAGAAGCATTAAAAAAAAACATGCAGAATCCACTTTACTCCAACTCCATGCTTTGGTTTACCTTACATCGGTAATTACTTCTCATTCTGTCCCTCTGCCTGCATCATCACACAATAAAAAAGACCTTTCTCAATAATCAGCTGACAGAAGGAACGTGCAAACCATGCTGCACAGAAGTATTTGATCCCAATAAAACAGAAAGTTAAGCCTGTAACAAAGAAGAAGACATGAAATGTTGCAACAGTCCCAGGAGGATTACATAACATTTTCTTGGGAATAGTGGGACGACGTGACCAGTTCACATCATCTCCATCTCCATCAGTGGGCCTCTTTTAACAGCCGTTATGAAAATATCTGTCACAAAGAGGTGGCAGCGCCGGCATCCAGCGAACTATTTAAAGGTCAGAAAAATCACCCACTCAACACCACACATCTTTAGCAACACAAGAATTAAGAGGCGTGAATTTCACAAGAGCACATTAGAGAGATTCACAGCCAGAGAAGCTGTCCTGCTATTTTCAACATTATTAAGTTAATTTCCAGTACTGGACTATGTCCACCCAAAAATGTCGCTTTTGTGTACATGTTGGTTGCATTTCACAAAAAAAAAACGTGCTCAGAGTATATTTTCTATTGGTGTTTGGTACATAACAGGTCTTCAAATGTCTTAAATTAATTTTTTACTTATGTTTTGTGCAGTAAAACGTGTTTGTCCCTTTATTTAAGTTTTTTTTTTTCCCACGTTCAGGCTGATCTGAGTCACATCTACCCACTTGGAGTGACAATCCCAACATGTTGTGATGGAAGGCATCAGTCAGTGTAAATAAAGTCCTTTCATCAGAGCACGTAACTAATCTGAGAAATGTTGGGATTCAAACAGAGGGATTGATACACCCACATATCTTAAAATAACACGTTAAATGTTAGACCAGTTAGATGTTGGAACAGATTTGTCTGAAGCAAATAGTGATAAAAAAAAACAAAAAACTTTTATTATCAGTTTTTTTTTATTAAAATTTTTTTAATTCACCTTTATTTGATACATAATTTTTTTTAAATGTAAAAATAAAGTTTATTGTATAAACTTTTATTTAAATTCAAATTTCAGTCAAGCTGATGCAAACTGTGAGTGGGGTGGAGGACTAACAAGTTTGGCCATGCAATTTTAACAGACACCCAAGCCTTCTTTATAATACGGTGCTGTCCTTTAAAACAAAGATATCTGGTGAAAAATACCACAAAACCTGCTACAACTGTGATTTATAACTGGTGGCTACTTCATATTTGTTGGAGGGTGCTTTTTTGGCCAGTGGTGTGACATTATAATAAATATCTAATTATTTTTAACATTTATTATTTTAACATTTTAAGACAAAAGAAAAGACCATATTCTTGTAAAGAAGGAATAATTACATAGCTTTGAATAGTTTTTAAAATAATAAAATGAACTATGCAGGGCTATGTGATTTTTTTTTTGATTGTGGAAAACATTTTTAAGAAATGAAGCATAAAGTTAAAGTGTTTTAATGTTTAATGTTTTACTCCTTGTAATAGTACTAATATTCACATATTTGCTAAAGAAATGACAAGAAAACTTGTAAAACTAGCCCTAATTTGTTGTTAGTATACCCACCAATAAAATTCAGATTTTGGGCAAAGTCCAAGTCAATTTTATTGTCCTTCACATCACATGTGATACATGAGGTGGAATGAAATTATGTACACAGGGTCCCAGTTACACCCAACAATAGCAAAAAGAAAAAAACAAAGCTTGAAAGAGCTGCTGCAGAGGGACCAACATGTGGCTCCAGAGCCGCATATTGCAGACCACTGCTGTTGTTAGTTTATGAATACACTTGCTTCAAAGGCTGCAGATGAACGTGCTTATGTGTCATCATTGTTTGTTTCCATACAATTGCAAAATTATTGCTCTGCATTTAACCCATCACATGTGAGAAACACCCAGGTGGAGCTGTGGGTATGTAAGCACCAGGGGAGCCATAAGGGATTTATGTAAAATGTACATCCAGAAATGAATGATTGTTAAATAATTTTGATAATGTACTCAAGGTAAAATAGTATAAAGGCAACACATTTGATATTGAGATTAATCATACGGTACATTTTATTGCATTCAGACTGAATCTAATTGAGAGATATGCTTTAAAACAATGGCTCACATTAAGTGTTAGGTAATGCACAAAACATTTTGAGTTGAACATAAGATATTCACCTCTCAGATTTATTTTTTTATTTTATTTGATCTGACCTGGATTTTATATGTAGCTGTGTGACCGCTGTCAGAACCGGTACTGAATATTCTGAGAAAAGAGCTGCAAATTCAACCAGTGAAGAAGAAAACTGATTACTTTGCCACTTTGTGTTTGAAAGCCTTTATTTAATACGTGATGTTAAAAAGAGACATTAGCAGAAAAAGCTGTTTGGAATCGGCAGAGAAGATTCTGGCAAGTTTTCCTGGGTGCAGCCCACAGATTCAACTCTACTGCTTAACTCACAAATGCATTTTTTTAGAAACATTTACTTTTACTTTTTTGTGCTAAGTTTATATTAGAGTTGCCAATTGTCCCTTATTTTATACTCCAAAAATGTGTTTTTTAAGATGACATTTATCACACTTGATTCCTTTTTTAAATAATTTGTCTAAATCCGTTCATAGATTGGGGTCTACCATACCAGATAAGACCCAAGATGCACAAATGTCTCTGAGACAGATGAGACACATGGTGTAAGATCCAAGCAGGCAAAGCATCCATGGAACGCCATAACCAAGTGGCTGCAATAATATACATGAACATCTGGACTGGAGTCAAAGTGGGAGACGCCACTAAGGATGGTGAGTAATGGAAGGGCTAAAATGCTGTGGGACTTCCAGATCCAGACTGACAAACAGGCGAAGGTTAATCAACCAGATATTGTGAAAGCTGCAGAAGGAACACGAGAAGCTGGAGAAATACAAAGGTCTGAAAGAGGAAATGCAGACGTTGTGGCGAGTCAAGGCGTCAGTAGTCTCAGAGGTCAGCTTGGTGCTGTGACACCCAAACTAGAAGAGTGGCTCAGATCCAGGAACAACCTCAGGGACCTCTGTCCAGGAGAGCACCTGCGAACAGGTAAGGTTCTGCCAAGAACCCTCACGCTCCCAGGCCTCTGGTAGAGAGTGCAAGTTTGAAGCGAAGTCAAGGTCAAGGTGTCTTTATTGTCATTCACATCACATTTGGTACATGAGGTGGAACGAAACTATGTACACAGGGTCCCAGTTACAAATGGATCCACCCAAGTGGAAAAGGGTAAGCTGAGTATTTTGTTTGTTTATGTTTTTTTACATATATAAGGGATCTTTGCGAGCATCACACATTGAAACTCATGACATGCATTTGTCCCGTTTGACTGAAGTCTTATGTAATTTCTTGTGAAAGCAGACCTGTTGCAGCAGAAACGCCTGAACCCATTTGCTCTTGACTCAGGGCTGAATTCCTTCAAGTCATGGAGAGCATGCGGGGTGACTCATCCTCCTGCCGCGGAGGATTCCTCGAAGCTAAAGTCCTCAAAAAGACATCTAGGATGAAACTGGAGCCCAAACATTACAAAGTTCAGGGATGATGATGATGATGATGATGAGCGCCTCTGAACTTCCCGCCCGCGCGCGACTCTCCTCCCTCCTCCAACAGCGAGAACAGAAAAAGTTTCCTCCCTCTTCCACCCTCACTTTTTAACTTTCCTCATGTAGCCGCGGCTCGACGGAGAGAGAAGTTCAGTCAGAGGGTTTGAAAGCGAGGGAGAAGTTTGGACATGAACGTTTTCAGCGAGTAGAAAAAAAAAAGAAGAAGAAAAAAAAAAAAAAAAAGAGTTATTCGTTTCTGCTCCTCGCGCGCGCGGCATCATGAAGCCGCTGCCGGGCTCCTGCCTCCCTCTGTGGACTCTGCTGGTCTTCATCTCCCTCCTCCAGGCAAGAAAATGTCAAATTAACACTTTTTAAAAACTACAACGAAAGAATGATGCTGGTAAATCTCTCTAAAGAGATCAAAGGGCGCCGCGTTTTCCGTGTCAAACCTTGCAGGTGCGCTAACCTCCACCTGTCGGTTTATCATCATCATCAGCCGTAAAATATGCTTTTATATAAGTGTCACTGAATTAAATGTGGAAACAGGCCTGAGAGTTCATAACTTTAAGACTTTTAACTAGAAATAAACTCACAAACTATTTAAAAAAAATACACATTTTAAATATATTTTATTACCTGACCAGTTTTTTGTGTGTGAATGTATTCCTGTGGAAGCAGTGGTGTAGTCTACATTTTGTAGTGCTTAGAAACCAAAGTACACCGGTTAGTACACTGTAATCGTCAATTTATTTTGATTTTTAAGCGTCTTGAACATTTCAAAAAATTTCTGATGCTTTTATTTGAATAAATGTACAACAAATTTTGTACAACAGTTGGCTTTATATTAAAAAACATGTATAATTTATAAAACAGTATCAAAGCAAAACATGTTCAAGTATTTAAGTAAGTACAGAAGTATTAATTATACAAAAAAAAAAAACAGGTTGAATCAACTCACTGTGTCTATAAAATGTCCCAAATGTGTTGACAATGACATGAGCCCATGTCATGTATCATTGGTAATAATACATGACATGGGCTTGTATCATTGGGCACTTTTAAGGGTATACTGAAATTCCCTAGCTTTTCTAGTGGGTATACTCCGTATGCCCTCGTATCACACACTACACCACTGTGTGGAAGGGCGCTATGAAGATAAATCAGTCTTAAAAGTACTCTCACAAGCATACAATGACATTTATGTATAATAAGATCCACAAGTGTACCACAACTTTGACAAATGCTATATACATATACACAAATGCTATAACATTACTGGACTCCAAGAACATTTATTAAGGGAACTGTATGATTAACATAAACAACCTCAAATGTGCAGGTTAAAGGAAAAAGTTTCAGGAACCACCCCCCACCCCCCATCTATACTATATATATTTATGTATTTTCCTAGTGGTTTTCCACAAGAAGAATAACCTAACCATTTTTTATGTTTATTTCACTTGTACAGTCCACATAGTTAACATTTTCTTCTCGTGGAAAAACTCACGGAAAAACATTTTTCCAATGTTTTTTTTAGCAGCGGAAGAAAATACCAGAATATATTTTTTAAGTAGGGATACACATTATTGGATTTTTGGCCGATATGCTGATATGTTAAAACTTATTTGGCCGATAACCGATATCACTACCGATATTTTTTTTCCCTATACCTACTTACAGACACTACATATCTTTCTCTGCTGTAGAATTAAATACTACATTATTCTGCATTTGGTAGCAGGTCAGACTGACGAAACCATGCAGAATAATGTAGTATTTAATTCTACAGCAGAGAAAGATATGTA